TTGGCCGGGCTGGAGGCAGCACGACGCTTCCAGCGTCATTCTTCTCCGACTGCCTTTCTTCCGCAGTTTATTCCTGTCCCCGCCCTGGCACACGGAAAGGGGCAGCTGCGGCACCGTGGCGAGTGCCCGCAGCTGAAGGTGGTGTGGCCGCTGGCTGTGGGGACCAGCTTCCCCGACGGCACTGCGTGTGTAGCGGCCTGGGAGAGGGGGCGCGAATAGTCTGGCTAACTTCCCAACCCCTGACGTGGTTCAACATACACACAGAATCAAATCAGAGGGAGGTTCCAGGTGGTTGCTACAGGAGTCTTTTGCTGCAGTTTTAACCACTTGTAAGGTTTGGAGCCTCTGTGGAGATGTACGAGGCACCGAGCACCCTGATCTGATTTCGCTGTTTATCCTGCTTTAAGCAGAAAGTCAGGCAGACGCTCTCCAGAGGTCTCAGCCCAAATTCTCTCGTGAGTGTACTGACAGACTATAGGCCAGTTCTTTTCCACGTACTCCCCTTTGCTAGGGGAGATAGGGGATGCCGAATGCCATCCCTTCTGCATGCAATTTGATACTTCTATGTGTGAGTCACTGCCGTTTCTCCCAAACTGGAAGCTGGTGTGTGCTGAAATATCTTGACCTCATGGACTGCAGGAGCCAGCGTTTGTGGTAAAGGAGGGACCAATGCCTGTCGGGTGATCTGAACACCAGGGCATAGACCAGCTGTTCTTTTAGCGGGACATCTTTTCAGTGTTGTATCTGTTTAGTGATTTGCACAACGGGAACTTGGTCTCTAAACGGGGTAGCTGCATACTACTGCAATAGAAATAATGAAAAAGCAGGAGGTTAAAGCTTTGATTGCAATCCTAGGTATTAAAGTACGGAAGGACAAGACTCAGCTGACAGTCAGTTTGAAGACATTCGTGAAGAAACTTGAGAATATTTCAGATGATGAAACTCAGGAGATCCTGGAAGAGAAGAATTATGTTGCTGCTCTTGGAATATGTGCCCAAGGTATTAGGAGGGGAAAACCTAACACAGCTGTGACTTCAGGAGATTCTTGCAGTGTCAAGGTTGTACAGTGTTGATAAAATTGTTTTTGAGGGCTGACCAGTTCTGGCTGTGGTCATGGTAACAAAGGAGAGGATAACGATTCTAGGATTTTATTATTATATTTATTTCATCCCACCTGCAATATAAAAAGTCCTTTGAGCCAAACAGTAAAATGTTGCATTCCATCTTCCTTGGGTTGGGAATATACCAGTGCTTTTTAAAATGCTACAAGTAACCTTTCTTTTCACAGATTCAATGGGAAATGGCTCAGGTATAAGTGGTGGTGAAGTTTACTCATTCCAGACTCCCAAACGCTCCAGCAAAATGTCAGAGCTGGGTATGTGTTCCTCTTTCTTCTTTCATTCTTGCGCTGGCTATGGTATTTTTTTAAGTACTCTGTTAACGTGATCTGTCACTTCAAAAGATATGTTTGCAGTATTTCAGTAGCTTATATCTGGCTCTGAATCAGTCTTTCTCAGAAATAAAAGCACAGGGCTAGGACAAAGCAAAGGCATGGTGGGGATGAGAAGTACAGGTAATAAATAAATGCATAAGAAAAGCAGATGTTTCTTAATGCTGGGAGAAAGTCTGTGTGTAACTGCCAAAGGGCGGCAGGGGTTTTATTTGTGTAACTTAGAAGGATATGAGAATAAATCATTATGTAGCAAAGAGTTAAAAAAAAAAAAAGGCAGTATTAACTGTGTATGTCAGGGGATTTCTCCTGCTCAGAAGTGTCTGAGTGTGCTTGCTAGGCTAACTGTGGACTTAGGAGAAGCAAACAGAAAGTGGCAGTTGAGAGGGTGGGCTGTTCTGGTTCAGCTAAGATGCTTGAGCCCTGCTGCCACTACGTTTCTTCTCACTTGAAGAGTCTTTGTGTGCTCAGCACCATTTGAACTTCATGGGTGTTTAGCTGTCACAGCTACTGATATATCCTACTAAGGATGATCCGAGGGAGAGGGGTCATCATTCTGTACCACTATATAGAAACTGGTTTCCGTACCTCTCTACTTCTCCTCTGAGCTTCTGCTGTGTCTTGGGAATTTGTGTGTTTCTTACACCTCCTTCTGCAGCAGGGTGGGTTTCACTGGTGCTCCCTCCTGACTCAGTTTGAAAATGGAGGCAAGTCATAGAATGGAAGGCTGGTTTTCTTGAGGGACTGTTAGCAGGATATGGGGGACTTCCATATTCAGATCAGTGATTCAACTTCAGCTTGTGCTGGTAGGTAGTGGAAAGAGGTAAATAGGATACAAGAACCCACCTCCTGGGAAATTGATGTGTTTGCTATACCTGCTGCTCTACTATGTCCAGTTGTGGTTTTAAAGGACTAAGTGCTCATGACCAAACATGGCTTTGATTCAAAGACACGTGGTCTCCCAGGGAGAAAAGCATGCTCTGCCATTACCTGAGCTATACTTGTAAAATGAATTAACTGAGGAGTTCAGTGTTTGAAAATCTTTGTTAAGGATTGCATTCACCATCAGGGTTAGAAAAAAAATGGAAGTATCTGGTGTGCTTCCTGAAATAGCTAGGAAATTAATATTTAGAGAGTGTTTCAGGTGTATGACTCCATGGCTGACTAGCCAGAGCTGGGATTTTTGTACCTGACATGTGAAACTTCTTCCGTTCCCCCTTTTTCCTACAGCCTCTGAATTAGCCCAGACACCAGGACAGAGTGTTGCACCTGATCACTCCGAGTGCCCTGAGAAGACAGCCAAAACCCCTCAAAGTAGCAGTAAGTCCTGTGATACTTTGGGGAACTGAAGCTGAGTGAATGGGCGCCATGTTTCTATTTCGGTGGTGAAGTGTATGCTTGAGTGCCAGCTTCTGTCATGCTTGAGTATTCTAGTCAGCTTAACATTGTAGACTCAACTGCTTGGTATGCATGGCCTCTGGTTCACCTGAGTGTCAGATCTTTTGTTCTGTCCTGCTGGTGTAGAGAAAACAGGAACTTCTCTCTCATCTGTTGCTGTGACTCAATGCTTTCCTTTGTGTTCAACAGAAATGCTTGCACTTGAGAGAGTTAAGAGCTGGGCTGATTTGTTGAACACCAAATGGGTAGGACTGTATGGGTGTTCATGTGTAAATTCACACTTTATTATATAATATTCAAGCACCCAATGCTGTAGGGAGAAATACAGGTGGAAGAAGTCAGTGCAGGTCAACACTGGCAAGAGCATGTTACTTTGTGCTCAGAAATGGAGTCTGATGTGCTCAGGGAGAGGAGATTAGCTCATTTCTTAACTTTTCCCTCCTGCTGATGGCCTCACAAAGCTGTGACCAGAATTAAAAGCTACCTTCTGTGCTAATAACATTGACTGTCTTTGTTCTCTCCTTGCCTACCTGTGAAGAGCTAGAGGTTTCCCTCGTAGAATTAACCACCCAGAGAGCTGATATGTTGTTGCAGTGTACCTTTGAATAGTGAATGTCTGTTTTTCTAATGGACCATCTCGTACTGCTGTTGAAAATATGCAGTACTCTGAACAATGCTGTTTCTTACTTTGCAGAACGTCCAAGTTCAAACAAAGTGCAGCAGAAGGTGAGTGATGACTCTACCTTGCTTGGGTTTTTTTTGGTGTGGTGTTCCCCCCCCCTCCTTTTTTTTTTTTTTTTTTAAACTTGAACTGGCCAATTAGTACAGTTCTAGAAAGAAAGGACCTTGAAAAGCCTTATCCACAGTACAGCTGTCTCTCCTAATCTAAGTGGGCAGAAGTAACTCAAGTGAGAACCAGAGCTACTGTTAATCAGAACTATGGGATTTAGAGTCAGTGGGCAAATAGTGGGTTTGACAGCTTAAGTAGCATGGGTAGAGACTATTCCCCTAATATGCAGTTAAACTCATAGCTTTCCAATTTCTCATTAAAGGAATAAACAGCCTTAATTGTACAGATTGCTGTTAGAACAGGAATTCAAGAGCGGTGGTGCTGTTCAGTTTTGTACTGTAACACTGGTTTATAAAAAATAAATTGTGATAAGGGGGGGTGTAAATTGATGTCGTCTTTTGTGATGCTACAGAGAGATACAGTCCAGAACTGCCAGCTGTGTTGGTTATAAAGAGTGCTATGAATCAGTTGGCTTTCTGAAATGGTATAGCATCATACCTATGTGCACACACAGAAATGTGTGCACAGCTTTTCCAGTGTAAGGTTACAGGATGAGATATGTCTGTAATAGATGCTGTTTTGGGGTGCCATGTTCACTCCTTGATGATTTCACATCCACTTTGACAGGATTAACAACAGTGGTTCCTAAATATTGCAGACTTGATCTGGTGTCCAAGTCAGACGTGTGCTTTACACATACGTAAGGAAGACGTACCACTACAACTTGATGAGCGCAGGCAGCTTGGGTTCCCTTTGCTGTACTTCTTCTGGGCTTAGTATTCCAAGTGGTCTCCCATCGTTCTGGTAGTTGTTTTCATAGTGGACTACCAAATGACTTGGAGTAGACAGTGTGAAGTGGAAGATGACTGGTCTGGAGAGCTGAAGCATTTCCAGTTTGTCATTGCTTCGTTTTCACTCTTCCTAAGGGGCCAAGATTGGCATCTTGGTTGGAGATTTCACAGTTTTCTACCCTCCATCTCGGGATATTAGTTAAAATAATTAAGTCCCTTTTGGAACCTGATCCTGCCCCCCTCTAGCTCTGAATGGCAAAACAAGAACTCTCCATACTTACTGCCTCTGCTTTCCCAGTTTCTTGTGGGCTGAAAGAGCTTGGAAATGTAATCTGATTCTAGTCTTTGCTTGGCAGAGGGCTGTTTTGAGGAATTACAGATTTCTTCTTCTAATGCGTGTTTTTTCTTCGCTGTTACAGAGTAAAAAGAAAGAATTTGTGTCTACCACGCCTTACAGACTCAGAAAGAGGCTAGCAGGTAAAGATCAACTTTTGCAGTCATCTTCCACAGTCATTGAGGCACTGTGTTCAGAAGAGGGTGTTTTTCCTGGTGGGCTTCTGCCTCTAGTAGCAGTCTGATTCATCCTGCAGAGAGTGTAGAAATGTGCTTAAGGAAGTCTGTGTAGACCTTTTCCCTTCAACAGATTGCTACGTAGTTAAGGGGTGGAAGAGTTAGAAGCCCCAAATTGTTAAACTTCAGTAGCATGATTAAAAGAGGCAAAACTCTCAGTAATCTAACCTATGCTGACACTTAAGTCTGGCACAATTGCTTGAACCAAGTCTTAAAACTTTTTGATGATGGCTGGGACATTCACGGTAAAGTATTTCCAATAACTGGTTGGTTCTATGTGTTCAGAACGAATGCAGAGGAGATTTTAGTCTGTGGTGTTTCGTGTTCTATTTCTTCTTTTGTGTTGAGAGACCAAGACTGAGCCAGATTCCGGCTGTGCTCTTCAATCAACATTGCTAACAGAGGTCTTTTACAAAACCTTTTTTGCAGAGGGTGACCCAGAAGATACTCAGCTTGCATGATTGGCATTTGGGAAAACTGACATAGAGATGCTAAGAGAAATAGAGAATTTGATTGTCCATTTCTAGTCATTTTTTTATGGTCGGATTATGTTTCTTAGTTAGTGTCAAGGAACAAGCTTTACTAAACGAGAATTTGTGAGCCTAGAACTAGGAAAGAAGTGGCTGTGTGTTTGTAGTCCTCTTAAGCATTGATGTTACTTTTCTGTGAAATATATTTAGGAATCACATGCTTGAAAAACATCTAGAGAATGTACATGAGAGCAAGATGGTGCAAAATGTGTTCTGTGTAAGAAGTTGTTGCTAGCTTTTGACCTTAAATTTATGCCGTAGCTCCAGATCCCTATTTAGAAAGTGAGAGTGAATATTCTGCTTCCTGCTCAGAGGAGGAGGATGAGGAAGACCAGAAGGAAGTCAGCACTGTTTTATCAGGTCAAAAGACCCCAGCAAAAACTACGGCTGCATCTACGCCTCCTCCCAGAAACAGCCTAGCCAAAAAAAATAAAGAGAGCAAGATGGTGAGTGTGCAGAAAATATACCCCTGAGCTAGCAAGCGTGAAGAATGTTTGGTGACAATAAGCTGTCAGTGACCACATCTAACTGGAGAAGAAGGACTAGACTCTTCAAATCTAATCAGTTGGGTTGGCTTTTGCTGTACTTCTGAGCAATCCCTGCTGGACACGCATGATGTGAGCCTGTGGGCTAATCCAGTCTGTATCCTCAGCAGCTCCCTTGTACTGAAAAGGGATGGAGAAATTGACTCCTATAGCACCGAAAGAAGCACACATTACTTTCTGGCTTGGTGTTCAGCTGTGTTGTCTGATTTCCTTCCAGCACCAGGGATCCCCACACCCCCTTAGAATTATTGCTATGTTCTACTCTCTCAGAATCTCTTTTCTGTCTCTGTCTGCAGGAAATAACCATCTGATTAGGCTAGCTTTGGCAGAATACTACTGTAGAAGCCATTTTTGCAAATATCTTCTGGCTTTCTATTCATCCTTGCTATATGTCTTATATTGGCCATCTTCAGACATGTTTGTGGGTACAAAGGCAGAGGGGTAACTCGACAGCAGGACTGTGCTGATCTTGCTGTCTGTTTTTAGAGCAACCTGGTGGAGGAATACTTTGAAGCTCACAGTAGTTCCAAAGTGCTCACTTCGGACCGAACGCTGCAGAAGTTGCGGAAAAGAAGATTGACTCAGGTACATTTCATAGTGAAGCACATAACTGTCAGAGCTTTTGACTTCTTTGATGAAGATTTTCCTCATCAGAAGTTCCTGATGTTGCTGTTTTCACTTTATCTCTGCTGATGACATTCTTGGTGGTAATGCTGATTTAGGTATCATTTTAAGCGTTATGTCTCTTACTGCTGCTCTGACCAGGGACAGTGCCCAGTTGTTTGAACTTGAGACAGTAGGAAAAATGCAGGGAGAGGGCACTATCAGGTGAGCAGATAGTTGAAAACTGCAGTTACCAGAACAGGTTTGCTTTTCAGGGAGGAGAAGAGAGAGAAGCAGAGTTGTAGAGACCTGCCTTAATAATTATCATCAAACCAGTATCTTTGTCAATGAAATACTTAGGGGAATTACAAACTGTCTTGACTATTTATGTGTAGAGGAAATGGAGATAGCCCTTTTCATCTGAGCGTTACTTCATCAATCCACATGCTGGGCTGGGACAGCTCTAAATGTTGTCACCTGGTTTGTGAAATGCACTTTGTCCCTTTTCGGTTCCTAGGAGACAGGAACCATCTAATTGTGGTGACTGAATAACTGTATTTTTTTCCATATGCCACTTCTACAAGACAGTTCAAAGCAAGCAGCTGCATCCTACAGAGACAGGTACACAAGGACAGGTGCCAGGAAAGCATGTAAAATACTTGGAGCTCCTGTGTCTATGACTGCTTTTTGCACCCATCTGTGTTTTAAAAGATGGCATATATGCAGATTGCCTGATGCCTGCTGTTGTCTGCAACTGCTACCCAGAGAAACATCTGGATTCTTGACAAGTTCTTTCATAACAGCTCTGGAAGGAAATCAAGGCTTTCAGTATTAAATCTACTGCTGGCTCCAAAGAAATTGAAGGCTTAGCAGTTCTGTCTCTCAACGCTTTATGCTTGTCTGATACATTGCAGCTGTCTTTGTGTTCTTTCCAGACTAAACTGTCTTCCACTGCAAGGGAGTGAAAAGCAAAGCTGTTAAAGTTGAAGAGAGAGGAAGGCCAGTGTAGATTTGATGCCATTTGTCATGCTACTGTGCTGTTTAAACATCAGTATCCCATCATATCTTTAAAACTGAATTAATCCTTTGATTCTTGATGCTTTTGAAATAATACTTTTTCTACATTTAGCTGTCAGGTGCATATCATTTCCTTTCTGCTGTATTTCTTTTTTGAGATGATGTTTGTGAGCATTCTCTTGTAGTGACAAACACCTGAATCATAGCTAAGCGTGTCGATTGGAGCCCTTGCTCCTGTGAGAAATGTTGTGATGTTGATATCTTCCTGGTACAATGCTTGGTGCTGTGTAAGCTCTGATTGTGTCCATTATTTCCGTACTGGTTTTCCCATACTCAGCAGG